TCTGGTATAGGTCATGAATCTAGAAGGGGACTGTGTGGAGTAAATAAAATCCTGGGACTATGTGTATTGTTGACATGGTCTTGCTAAGTTCCCAATGCCTTGAACCCAACAGAAGTGGAAAAGCCTTCCCCAGGGGAGGCTCAGAGGGATGGCAAAGCCTTCTTTGAGTTCAAGTGTGAAGGTTAATAGTGTGTGCATAAAATGTCCACTGTAGCTTTCTTCCTCTGGATGTTTATAACCTGGAAGCTGTTCCCATACAGAGACTGTTCCTAGTGATAATTTCCAAATTTTTGTTTAGCTGTATGTAATGTCCATAAGTCCTTATTTAGCTGTATATAAGAATCCTGAGGTGGGGCCTGTGGGGAGGGCTGTGCTTCTCCATCAGAGAGCCCAGACGTCCTCATCCCAGCTTTTCTGTATCCATCGCTGTGTGTTTGTGCTTTTCTCATTCCTTTACTTCCCCAATTAGGTCAGTCACTGCAGCCATGCCGAACGTGGAAAGGCAAAAGAGGTCTTCAGGAAGAGGAGAAAAGAGTAATAAAATTTAAGTGACATGAAAGTGTGTATATCATAAGGAAACCCATTACTTAGTATGCTCATTAAGAAAAATAAAAGATTCCTTTTCTATGTAGGCATCAGCTCAATTTCAACGAGTTATGTGGGTATTGTCTACAGCAATGGAACCTTGCTGTCAGTTTGTGGAGCAACTTAGAGTCTTGGGAACAGTTTGGGTTATTTGGGGATTTCCTTGGAATCACTTTGGCCAACAACTCAACTGGATGTAACCCAGTCCAGTACTGGAAGCTTCATTTGGTGACAAGAGATGGTAAGTTGGAACTACATCTCCCTCATTATGTGGAGGCTTCATTTGGATCACCTTCATATATTTTAGGAAGTTTTTGCTGCACTAGGATTCCATACTAGGTCTCAAATCTAACTGTCTTTCCCCACATTTCCCCCTCAACCCCATCTCCCCTTCAGTCCTATATTCTAGTGTCTTTGGTATAGAAAGATACTCTGCAGGCAACCAAAAGAGAAATGTAAACGCCAGTTCAGTCACAAACCCTTTGGATCTATAACATTGTCCTACGTGTTAGTGCAATGGTGGCGCAAAGCTTGTGGGAGTAACCAACCATTATCTGGTTTGTCTTAAGACCTACTCCACACGATGGAACCCATATCTAACACTGCTTGGGTGACCAAGACCTTAAGACTAGATAGGCTAGGGACCTAGAATAAAAACCAAATAATATTGGCCTTAAAAGAAAAAAAAGTACTGGTAAAATTACCCCTAATGACATTTTGCTATACTCATAGATAAGTTCCTTCCTCTGCCACCATCAGAGAAGCTTCCTCCAGCAGCACATGGGAACAAATTACAGACAACCACAGCCAGGCATTACTTTCAAACACACAGCTCTAAATGGGATGTCTCCATCAAATCCCTACTTTCAGAGCTCAGGGAATCCTGTAGAAGAGGAGGCAGAAAGAGTGTGAGAGTCAGAGGGGATGGAGGACACCAGGAGAACAAGACGCTCTAAATCAGCTAAGCAAAGCTATGTGAACTCACGGAGACCGAAGCAGCAAGCACTGGACCTTCACGGTTCTGCACTAGTTCTTCTGTGTGTATATCATAGCTTTCAGTTTAGTAATTATGGGACTTCTGAGTGTGTGAGTGAATGAGTTTCTGATTCTTGTGCCTTCTCTCGGCTCTTTTCTATCTGTTGGTTTGCCTTGTCTAACTTGGATGTGATGGTTTTCGTTTTATATTATTATGTTTATTCTATTAAAATATTCCTTTTTGATATAATTCCTTTACATTGTGAAAAATTAATCAAAGTCATATACGTTTGCTAAACTAGACTCTATACTTTCCCAAAATTATATAAATGCTGGATACTTTAAAAGTATCTTTGGGTTATTCTATGCTTATTGCCTTGATGGTGGTGATGTTTTTAAATGTGTATATATGCCAAAATTTTTCAAGTTTTACATTTCAAAAATGTATAGCTAATTTTATGTCAGTTATACCTTATAAACCTGCTAAAAAGAAATGAAAAAATACGTATTAAAAAAATCAAAATCAATATCCAAGTAAATCTAATATGTCCTACTTATTTTTATATAATCTATTTTTTGAAGGAACTTGTTTATCTATCCTGCAAATTATAAGTTTTATTGATGGCAATGAAAGATTCCTTAGATTTTAGGGCTAGACACAGAAATGTTTGCTAGTGAAATTTCTGTGTGTGTGATGGGGGTGGGGAGATTAGGCATATTTTGGTAATTGTTCAAGATGACTCAAGGACACAGGAGGATTTATCTGTAGTGTGCTTTCTTGTTGGGACCAGCAGCCTACAAATGACAACACAGAGTCTTATTAATTATGAAAGCTTGGCCATTAGCTTAGGCTTGCCCACCAGCTCTTATAATTTAAATTAACCCGTCTCTCTCTATATATTTTCTCAAGATAAATTAACGCATATATATATATATATATATATATATATATATATATATGCATGCATTTCTCTGTAACTTTGGAGCCTGTCCTGGAACTAGCTCTTGTAGACCAAGCTGGCCTCAAACTCACAAAGATCCTCCTGCCTCTGCCTCCGGAGTGCTGGGATTCAAGGTGTGAACAACTACCACCCAGTCTTTGAATGTGTTCTTATTCACTCTTAAAGGATGAGTTTACATAGACTTAGTAAGATTTGTCTAGATTTCTTTGAATTTCAGCTCTAAATAAAATGGAAGAAGGAAAGTTTTCTTTCTATATTGTATTTTTTGCTACCTCTCCTTTCTTCTGGTAGCCAGTGTCATCTCTCTCTCAATCTCTCTCTCTCTCTTTCTCTCTCTCTCTGTCTGTCTCTCTCTCTGTGTGTGTGTAGCCCTGACTCTCCTGGAACTCACTCTGTAGACCAGGCTAGAAGTCCTGGGATTAAAGCTGTGCGCCACCACTGCCGGGCTCACCAGTGCCATTTTTCTTATCTTTCCAGTATCAACAAAATATCCAGGTGTGGCAATGCAAGCCTGTAACCCCAGTGCTGATCAGAAATGGAGATGGGAAGTTTGCTGGAGCTTGCTGGCTGCCAGCCTAGCTAAAAAAAACAGAGAGCTGAAAGTTCAGTAACAGATTGTCTCAAGAGAGTAAGGTAAAGATCAGAATACTTGATAGGAGAGGATTCTCAGCATTCTCCTTTGGTCTCTGAGTGTATACCTAAGCACATCACAACACACACACACACACGACAAAATAAAAATATAAAAAAACCTCACATATTAAACACACATACATAGTTACTGTTTACTGAAGCTCTTTTATTAGGGGAAGTTGACTTAAATAGAGCACATAACTTAAATAAAAGTTTGTTTTTTGTTTTTTTTTAATGCGGTGATATTATGTTTGAGTAATGCTACTCAGACATTACATAGCCTAGTCTGGGAAGTGCTCGGGGAGTGGACAAGTTCCTTTGAGGGGCATCCAAAGTCTTATCAAATATAGTATATTCATTTCATTGGAAAAGTACCCTTAGAAGAGTCATATAATCCATGACTCTTCCTTCCATAGTATGTACTGAAAAATTTATCCTTGACTGCAAACGATAAGAAGCTAAACTCATTTTAAAAATTATAACTAGCTAAGAACACGCCTTGACTCAGAGAAATGACTAAATCTAGAAGTAGGCTTCGGGCTTAGTTTGAACTCCTTCATAACGCGCCAGTTTCACCTTCAGGCCAGCTTCCTTCATGGTAGCAGAGTGGTCTCAGTAACCCTAACCACCCATCAGAACTGCCAGAGTGAGAAAGACTTCTCATTCTCCTCCAAACCCTAGGTGGGCCTGGCTCTCATAAGTGGCTAATATTGTCGGTTTAACAGGATACAGAATTATCTGGGAGACAAGACTCTGGGTGTGCCTGTGAGGATGATCTAGATTAGGTTAACTGAAGTGAGAAGACTGACTTTAACCGTGAAGTATCACCCTTCTTTGACCTGGGGTCTTGGGCTGATTAAAAAGGAGACAGTGAGCTAAGTGTTCATTGTCCCTTTTGTCAAATAGCTTGGCTCCATTTAGAAGACAGCAGAAGGTAAAACCTATGACTTTCTCAAGTGTGGATTTTCTCATAGAGTCTGACTCTCACTATCTACTTCTTGCATATTTACAAAGAGACTCCAAAAACTTGAAAATCAACAGATGATTTGTATTACTCAAATCCTAACTTTATTAGGTATCAAGATTTAAAGCATTCGTTGGGTTAGGTTTAGGGTTAGGAAGGCTCTCAGGGTTCAGAGTTTAACAAAAATACTGTCTGGAAAGAACCCAACAGGGAGGGAAAACCCAGCTTAGTTGGAACATTCTTGCTGTGACCCATCATCTGTAGGCATTAACATTAAGAAAAAACGAGAAAAGAAACTTGTGTTTGAAAGCCCTTTGACAAATGTTACATTTCTCAAAGTAGCTTTTGGATCTGCGTGGGCAATAAGGCCAGGGCAATTGAAGTATAACAACAAAAGAGAATTTTCAACTCAAGAAGTCGTTCTACAGCTCACATCGCTAGATACATTTAATGCAAACAGTAACATTTCTGACTACTTCCCTAAAAACCAGGTAGGACTCATCCTTGAAGACACAGAAAGCAACGAAGTAGATCCTTCTGGAATCTCTAAAATATTTCACAGATTAAGGTTACATATATAGGTGCCATAAACCTAGGGAAAAAATGTCTCAGGAGATTGAGGGAATGGACAGGTCATTTCTGGCTGCTTGATCTAGAAAGGAAGATATTCAGAGTTCAAAGATCAGTACAACACTTGTGGTAGAAAATAGATACTTCTCTAGCTCATCTGTCCTCCAAAATCTCGTCTCTAAAAGGATAAAAGGTGAGACCCTGTTGCCTTCACAGTTATGTTCAGCGCTTTCTTATGTGCTCATGTGAGTCTGGAGGAAACAGTGAAGGGGGATGCTTCCCGGAACAGAAACACCTTCAAAGGACGCAGAATGAGTCCCGGGGAAAAGTTAGTCCTCCGACTGCGCAGACTGGAAATATGTAACACCGGTTTGGAAGGAGAGAATCTCCTCAACAGGGAATTATCTTAGAACTCAGTCACTGCTGGGGCCAATTGGCCACACGCCTGCAGGAGGGCCTCGTGCGCTCCTACTCTTCCTGCTCGCCTCCGGTCAGGTTTGTACTAGGCGCTCTCGGGGCCAGGCGGGGTCAGGCGGGGCTGTGTACGCGCGTGCGCGCCGCCGCCTTGGGCAGAGAAGGCGCCTCCGCCCTC